TAGCCAATACATCCTTAAACAATGACCTCCTTATTAATTTATTATAAATACAAATTAAATCTTCGAAACGATAATAGATTATTCGGTTTTGAGCAAGTCGTGTCGACAAAAAATCTTTTTATTACAGCAAACGAAATTCTGGTCATGCGAAAGAATCCAGTCCTACAGCTCCGATGAAGTCGCGAGCAGGAGATCGTGTAATTAGGTAAGTCTTTTCCGTTCACGTGTCACGTTCCCTAGGGAATTCGCGGAGAGTATGTTTAAATAAATTAGATTACCTCACGCATGAGGAGAAGGAAAAGGAACAAGGTTGTTTCCAAATTAAAAGAAGTAGTTGATGACAAATGACATCGTGCATCAGACATTTTGGCAAACGCCTGATGACCTTCTCCTGATGTCAGGCACGCACATCCTTGATCCTGTTTCCTCATCCTCAGGCCACCGGAAGACGAGACCGGACCGGCTACTTTTCGAACTTTCAAAAGAAACTCCCATCCTCCTGTCCCGCCCCTAAAACATAAACGAGAATTGCTCGAGGAATGTATGAGCACCTTGTCGCCAAAACCGCGTAAGAAACAATTGAAGAAAGTGCAGGCAAGAGCGAAACAAAACGAGATCGGTACGCCGAAAGGCAAAAACGAAGCGAAGCAACAAGTTTTGCAATCTGACAGGTCGCTGAAGTCAAACATCGTGTCGGCTAGGAGTCAGGGCAAACCGAAATTGAACGACATATCGATTAACGACGACATAATGGGCGTCACGGTGACGCCTTGCAGTATATACGGTGAGAACAAGTTGACCACGTGGAAGCAGATTAGTCAAAATAAAGACAGCAGCAACGAAAACTCTATAAAAGTTCAAGATCAGATCGTGAACAAGTTTCCCGATGTGAAAGAGGGTATCGAAGGTTTGTCCGCGTACGAGAAACAGCTGGCAAACGTTAGGGGTACGTTAGGCGAAAAGGATGTGGACAAGGGAACGAACAAACTGAGTTCGAGGAGCGGAAGCGTGAGTTGGTCCGCGACGTCGACATTGAATCGAACCTATTCATTCAAAGATTCTGTGATGAGTGACAATACTAAGAACAGAAAATGGAAGCCGGTGAGACACAGTCCTCGCGTAGAATTTCACCTTGGCGATCCGGAGATAGCAATTGATTCCTTATATCTTCCAAAAATGTCTGCGAGATCGAAGGAGGATAGCGATTTGAAAAAGTCTCGTAGGCAGTCGAAAAAGAGAGAGATTAAATCAGGAAATGGAAAACGTTACGGAGTGAAAGCTAAAAATACGACGAACGAGAGACAAAGTGAAGATGATAATTGCGACGTCGTGATACCAGGCCGAAAGTTGACTTCGGACGATTCCAAATCATCAAAAAGTAAGATTTTGGAAAATAAAGGGATAAAAAACGATTACGAAGCGCAAGCATCGGAATCTCGTGACGCGAATGAAAATATTGACGAGGTAAAAGAAAATATAGAGATAACGTCGACGCATGTGCCTAAAGAAAACATGAAATCTCCAATTTCCTCTGAGCAATTGGCGTATCTGGACGAGCTTGATCGCTTCTGCGAAAAAATTGATTTCGAAACAAATAACGATACGCAAGAAGTGAGTTCGGAAGTAAATCCAGTTACATCGCACAGTGATCGATCGGATGTTAAACATATTAAAAGTCCCAAAGAAGAAGATAATGTTTTGAATACTGATGTAAAGAAATCTATGGAATCTTCCCAAATAGAACTCGAGTCTCTTACAAAAAGCGATGACACGCCGTTTTACAATACCGACAACGAAACGAATTGGATTGAGATGGAGTCTGATCCGTTCTTCGACGAAGATTTTTTACAACCGACAAGGTCGAGCACGCCATTCATAAACGCGGAGAATTCGTCGAATTATAAATGCGACGATAGCAAAAATGTGGAAAAGCTAAGCCCGCGTCCGAAAAGCTCTGAATGGAAAGTCGAAATAGACACAGAAACCGGATCAGAGATATTATACCGCGTTGAGAGTAGGGATTCAAATTGTGTAAGTTCAAGGTGCTCACTCAGCAGCAAAATGGACAAACTAGAAAAGATGAACTCTGGTAATGATATGGTGCGGCTTTCTAATCGTTTCACTGTTACACGCAGCGAGTTGGATAGGAACACAGGAAGTTTCTCGAGTCTTTCGACTCCGATAATGAAGAGAAAGAAGAAAAGCTTTTCGAAAAGAAAAGATAGGAGTTACTCAAGTGCAGCTTCTCCAGCGGTGCAAGAGGTGGAGGAAATAAAATTGCCAAAAATAGACAAAAAGGAGATTGCCAGTCAAATAAACATGTGTAACTGTTCACCCGAAGTTTCTCCCAACGCTAAATGCGAGAAAGGCATTGGCGAATTTTCTATTTACTCTGAAACGCAAGTTTGTGACGTGTTTGTAGAGGAGAACGTGCACAATAATAAAAGTGTGGGAGTATCCTTAGATGTGGAAAGCAGAAAAAGCTATAACGAAATTAGCTTCAATACCAATCAAGATGAATCTTCGACAGAACAATTTCATACAGGCTCGAACAATTTTGATTATGCGAACGAATACACGTGCGAGAATGCCGAAAACCATAACAATTTTGACGATACGGCTGTAGTTTTCGTGGAGCCAATAAAAAAAGCAAGGAATACCAATGAGATTCGAGAGATTTATAAAAACAGCGCGACGCAGGATTTCGATTGCGATAGTGATATTAGTATCGAGCATCATATACAGGACGCGATAAACGAGCTCAGATCCTCCTCCTCGAAGAACGGTAAGATCAAGAAGAATTTGCAAAGTCTGCAATCGATAATACTGTCGGAGTCTTCCGTTAAGCTTAGTCAACGTGTACGGGTGGACGACATAACGTCCGTGAATCAGTCGGCGGCGTTGAAGTCCCGCCGATCAAAATTATTCGAAATAGAGAACATGATTCGTGAGAACACGAGCGCCTTGAACGAGAGTAGCGACAGTTCGACGTCGTTCGTCGATCTTACGGACGTAAAGCAAGTCGAGTCCGTTGAAGTAGAAACGATTGAAGAGATCGGGACCAGAAATCGTAGCATCAAATTCAGAATATTGCCAGAGATTAAAGGAAGCGCCACGGTGATGAAGGAGAATTTCGACGAAAGGGAAAATGTGAATAATAATAGTCAAACGTATTGGGAGAAGGCGTCGAAAGCTTCGAGGAATCGATTGATCAACCTCGATCCACCGTATCAAGGGGCGAGCAGGTTTCTTAAGAGAAATCCAAAAGTTCGTATCCTCCCACCTGTTCCCAGTAGTTCCTCCTTGATATATCAAAGGTAGGAACTAGGATTGGTTGGCAATCGCTTAGGATTAACTATACGAAATGAATTTTCGTAACATGACAATGCTCGCCGATTGAATTCATTTTCTATATGACTCAACTAAACCTGAACCTTATGTATGTATGTATGTATTTAGATTTCCTAACGCGCGTACGATATTGTAGGAATTTAAAACTGCCATTACGTCCCGTATGGAGCAATTACGTGCGCAGAAGACCAGATTTTAGTCTCGTACTTAGCGGCAGAACGTAAGTTCCGTCGGATGAATTGCTGCCAAATCAAATTTCTTAATTCCGGCAGACGTCAAATTTCATTTTGTTTACATTTTCATAATATAAAGAAGTTTTCTATTTCATTATCCATGTTTTATCCACGAAATGCTCATCTGTGTTCGAACGTTAGCTTACACAATATCATCTGCTATTTGAACATTCGCAAATTTGATTTTGGCACGTTTCTTGATGTATCATACGTCGCATGTATCGTCACGCGAATTTATCCGTCACCTTGTTCAAAGATTTACTCTGGAAACACGGTTAACGAACATGCTTTGCATGTTTGTTCGAGGTCGCGAAAGCCTCCTCCGATGTTTTATGTACATATTAGTGTTTCTCCACAGGCGCATCATCGATTTCGTTGATTGATCGCTTTCTAGAATAGGAAATCTGAGAAATTCGAAATTTCGTCTTCTTCTTTGTTGTTGCACCTCACTAATATTCTAATCTAGAAGTCGTTTCTTTTTAAAATTTGCATTCGATACGGCAATTTCTTAAGTCGAACCATCTTGGTAAGGTACTAGAAATTCATTGAATCGTCCCTTCGCGAACGAAATTAAACAATAAAATTATATTATTCGAAATTTTCAAAAGCATTGGCTTCATTATACAACAGATCAATGTCATATCATAAAATTATTTCTTATCATGCACACGACAAAGGACTTCTGACAGAAACGTCTATTGCCACAGTAACGATTTGCTAAAACTGTTTGTGCTTTCAGCGGCAAGGATTACGATCCTTTTCTACTGGCAGAGCAGCAAATGAACGACCTGCTGTCGGATACGAGCGACAGATCCGTGACGGACAGTCCTTCGATCGATCAAAATCGCGATTCGCTTTTTCCTCTGTCTCATTCCTCGGCTTTCGTCAAATATCCATACAAACCCTCCATCTCGAGCCCTTCAGAAAAGCGAACGTCTTTATTAGCGCCTCCGACGGAGTTCGACGACCTCGCTTCAGACTTTTCGAGCGATTCCACCGAGACCAACTCGTTGTCCCGCGAAGTTTTTCTCAAAGACAGAAGGGAATATAAAGATTCGACGTCTAGATCGGATCCGGAGAAAAAATCTGCCGTGAGACAGTTTAGTCGACGAGTGATCATCGACAAGTCGAAAGCGTTGGGCAACGAAGTGATCGACGAAAACGATAATCGCGGTAGTAAAAGTTTCGTCGGTAGCACGGAAAGAGCACGTAAAATTCTCGACAAAGTATCGCCGAAAGTTGTTCGTCCTTCGGTCAATGTAAATCGTTCTCTTTCGGACCGTGCCTCTTCCGCGCCCAAAGCTACGCCAACAACGGCGAACAAAGACGCGCAAAGATCGACGACTGGTAGTTTGAATAATAGAAATAATAATTATGCGAATCTGTCCAGTAGCAATTTGAGTTTAAGCTCTATTATGTCCTCGGACGTGGACATGAAACGATCCAATTCTATGTTCGACGAATTAATGACCTCGTTCGAGGATGAGGGCTCCTTCCCTTCCTTAAAATCCCTCCTAAAAGATGAATCTTTGTCCGTGTCCAGCCCCGTTCATGGCAGACAACGCAACGGTCAGATCAGCGACGATGAATTGTCTTCTCCTGAGAGTTACAAGAAGCAGGATCACAGTAAAATGAGCGCGGACTCAGCTTATAGCAGGTTAATATGCAACCATATCTTGATAATGTCGTAAATTTCCATGTACACGGATCTGCTTTTCAAAATTCTATTCTTAAAATTTTGTTTATGTTTAGTTTTTAATCAGTACTATCCGTCCATATCAGTACTTAAATCTCTCATTTCTATCAAATATTAGGAGTTATTATATTATAATTGATTTCTTAATTCACTACGACGTCCTCCAATTCACCTGCATGCTTAAAGCCCTGTTTAATTTCTTCCTCCTTAGTTTAAATCGAAAATATTCGTACCATGGACGCAGCACGAACGATGTGGCTGGACGAGGCTTCGACGAGGATTTAACGAAGAACAACAATCGTCGAGAAAACGATGGAATGACGGCGACGTCGAAATGTAAGATGTCCAAGTACTGCCACGAGTGCGGGTCCAAGTTCCCAGAAACCGCGAAGTTCTGCTGCGAGTGCGGCATCAGGAGGCTCGTGCTCTGAAACATCCGCGACCGGATAGAACGACTTAAAGCACAAAGGGAGATACCTACAACCTCGAGTAAATTGTTCCAACACGTCCATCTGAAGGCAATGATTCGAAGGGAGAGATCAAAATTGTAGAACGTCGTTTAGAAATGAGATTTGAGGGTGAACAATCGCGTAAAGAAATAGCTCGAAACCGAACGGTGAGATCTGAACGTGAAGGAGTTGAACATAAAGATTGCTATTTTGAATACTTGTGGACGATTAAGAAAGAGAGGAATTTATTCTTGCAGTTTAGAGTTAAAACTATCTACGTATTTGTGTACACTCTAGTCAAAATGGTTTTGATCGTGAAACGTAAAGGGGGTCTTAAATTCTCAGTATTAGAAAACGCACGAGGATTGTGAGAGTTAATTCGCAGAAAACGAAGAAACCCCTAAGTACCGAGTAACATCAATTAACAAGATGTCCGTTGTCACTGTAGCTAGCATAAGAGTGACGTTGAATATTCGGTTTGCATAGAATTTCGTCAGAATCAGATGTCCTACTATACTTTTACAATCGTAGGCGATTGGAACTACACTTGTACCATAAATCGGTCTAATAATATAAATGAACGGGTATGTTTAATACGGATACGATTAATTCGATGAATGTACGCGTTATTAGAAGGAGAACTTTGCGTTTGCTTTTCGTTAAAATGTATGTACGGACGAAAGGACGGAAAACGATGATTTTGTAACAGTGTTCACGTTTACTTTGTTACTTGTTGGTACTTTTACTCCTGCCCCTTTTATTCGACTTTGCGCCTTAAAAACGAGCAACGTGTTGCGACTCCGTCTTCTCTTTTCCTCCATTTACCCTCGAACAACTTTTTTACGAATTTTTTTTTTGTATATGAGTCAGCATAACTAATCGAAAAAAGAAGCCCGTTGCACATCTAATCGAATCGTGCATTTTACGTGTGTGTGTATGTAATGAAAAAAAAAAACAATTATATAGCGTAAGTTTAAGAGTATCTGTTAGAGATAGGTGAGTTGTCGACTAGAATGTTCGCGCTCAAATAACAACTATTAATCGCGTTACTAAAAATTAATAAATTCCAAACGTATAGCAAAACGTACGATCGACATTTTTGAATAAGTTTAACAACAGATTGAAGAAAAGGGAAACGGATATATCTACGGATAATCTAATTAATATTTTAGTCCAGAAAATACTAAAGAAGCCATTTCAAATATACGACCGAAGTAATTCTAATTCGCCAGCCGAATTAATTGTACATTGTAATAATATGACAACAAATCGTCTATGTTTTGAACTGTATTTTTGCAAATGCAATAAAGTTATGCTTGTACGAAAACTTGAGTTACAGCTTCTACGTTTCTTGCGTCCTAAAAACAGTTGTACTTCCTCTCCTCTCCGCTTCTTTTATTGAACGATGAAAATATGACGAGCAAACGAATGACAGCTTACTCGTGTTTAACTGGAAACTTCATGCTGCTTATAAACTTCAAGAAATAATGTTACGATCTTTGAATCGATTGCCACAATTTCTCGTAAGGAATACCGATTAACGAAGGAAATTGATCTAAAATCGGTAGGAGTTCTCACGTGTCGCTTTTTTTCCAGCGTATCGTCTCACAACCTCAACGATTAAATAAGAAAAGTAGTCGATGTTTTCACGTGAACGTCAGTCCAGGCCAAGAGAAAGCCAAATGCGGAGCGGAGGGCGGTAGTAATGTAGGGTATTTTCCACTAAATTCGCTAAACCGCTCGACGTACCGAGAGCCGTACGTTCACGAGTAATCGTCGATTTAATGTTTCGAACGTTGCTTACAGAATTATCCCCTAATAGATCATTGTTACGATGTGGTGATCATTGGGGCCGGTGGTGCAGGTCTAAGAGCGGCATTTGGTTTAGGTAATGTCGCTGTAAATTGATTTTCCAGAAATTCAGTTTTACCGATATTTAAATACACCGTTTGTGTCAACCGGAATACAAAACAGGAAGTAAGGGATACCGAGTAGCAGTTGTCACAAAATTATTCCCGACGAGATCTCACACGGTAGCTGCACAGGGTGGAATAAACGCGGCAATCGATTCTGCCAAAGATGACAATTGGCTTTATCATATGTACGATACCGTTAAAGGATCCGACTGGCTGGGAGATCAGGACGCGATACATTTTCTAACGAGGGAGGCACCGCGAGCAATTTACGAACTTGAAAATTATGGTAATTGCAAAAAGATGAAAAAGAATCGGTGAGTTAAACGGGAAAAGGATGTTTCCGCGTTTCAGGCTGCCCTTTCAGTCGTACAGAAGATGGACAGATCTACCAACGAGCGTTCGGAGGTCAATCGTTGAAGTTTGGAAAAGGCGGCCAGGCCCACAGGACTTGCGCTGTCGCCGATAGGACGGGTCACGCTATATTGCACACTTTATACGGTCAGAGCCTCCGTTACGAAGTGCATTATTACGTTGAGTATATGGCCCTTGATCTTCTCATGCTCGGACGATGCTGCAAGGGCGTCCTAGCTTGGGAACTGGAAACTGGACTCCTGCATCGTTTCAGGGCTCATCACACGGTAAATATCGATCTATCGCTGTTACAATAAAATATCGCACAATTCTGTCCACTATGTTACAATTTGTGCTGTTAGTGATTTTTCATTAATTATCAGAGAGTCTAAATTTGTTTCCTTAGGTGATAACTACAGGAGGAGCAGGAAGATGTTATCTATCCTGCACAGCGGCACATTCATGCACCGGAGATGGCATGGCAATGGCCTCTAGAGCGGGGCTGCCCCTCGAAGATATGGAGTTCATTCAATTCCATCCAACCGGTATTTGCACGGAAAGAAGAAAGAGAGGCAAAGCGGTTTTAACTGATTGATTTTTCCGGCAGGTATATACGGCAGCGGTGTTCTGATAACGGAGGGCAGTCGGGGTGAAGGTGGGAAACTGCTAAACTCTGAGGGAGAATTCTTCATGGAACGATATGCGCCAAATGCGAAGGACCTCGCGTCTCGCGACGTAGTATCCAGAGCTATAACCATGGAAATATTCGAAGGAAGGTGAAGCGCTTCTATAATAATGTGTTCCAACACTTTCGCCACATTCCGTGCAGTGCAATCCCACTGTTAATTTTTATTGTACATTATCAATTGTTTCAATCAAACTGTATACTTTGTTTTCTTTTTTTAATACCTTTTTATTTCCTTATCGAATGTAACAGCCAAGAGAAGAGCTACGTTTTACAATATTCAACATTCGCGTTATTTATTATACTTAATACAATGAATGATAAATTTTATAAACTCTTCGCTTCTCCCTCTGACATTTGTAATCTACCCAGGGGCGTAGGTCCCAGAAAAGATCACGTATACCTGCAATTGCATCATTTACCACCGGAATTGTTACGAACCCGACTACCGGGAATTGCTCATTTGGCGTGGGTATTTGCCGGAGTAGATGTAGAAAAGGAACCGATACCTATCATTCCCACGGTACACTACAACATGGGAGGCATACCCACAAACTGGAAAGCACAGGTGATCCACGAATTGCCATATTCTTTAATAGACTTCTCAAAATCAAAAATTGAAAAAGATTCTACATAACGGTTCTCAAACTGTGGTCTATAGTTCATAAAATGGGATCCTTAATGAAAGAAGGATTTAAAACCGTTATTATGGAAACATAATCATATACGACATATAAATATATGTTTAATGATTCTATTGACTAGGTTTTGACACGAGAGAAGGAAGAAGACAAAATAATCGAGGGATTATGGGCGGCAGGTGAGACTGCGTGTGCGTCCGTTCACGGGGCTAATCGGTTAGGCGCCAACAGCCTCTTGGAGTTGGTTGTTTTCGGCAAGGCTATTGCCGATCAGATTGACTGTATGACCAGACCCGGCGAACGTCACGATGATCTACCATCCGTAAGACCATAAATTAATTATTACTGTCTAGCCATGATGATTCGAGTCGAGTTCGCACAGTTCAACATTCGCTATTTAAATTTTGTCTGTTCTTTAGTCTCTAGTAGAAATTAATTGAAACGAAGTAGAAGTCCATGAATGTAGGATATAGATTTAACATAAAGCGTGAGATGCTATTTCTGTCAAATATCTCTCGGTAATGAATGACACGCGAAGAAATCCGGTCTTACAAATCGATACCGCGTACGTTATGCACCCTTCGTACAAGATATCATGACAAAGTTCTTTAAACAAGATTTAAGTTGATACCGTCGTGGGTTAAGCGTCCCCAAATACTTTATCCATATGATTTACAATTTTTAATATTCGTACCTCATATGAGGATAACATTCAAATTCCGTTCCACACACTTTATGTAAATTCTGTATTGCTTCCTTTTTTTTGCATTATATCACTAATGACCTATGTGTATATCACGAAAACAAGTGTGAGGCAATCAGACGTAATCATTTTTTACTTTAAATTTAGTCATAGTCTAGACACAACATTAATAGTAATGAATTACATGGAACGACTTACAAAATCACTCAAGAAATTCAAATAAGTTGGAAGTTGAACGATGCGATGTGAAATGTTGATATTATCATCTTACAATATTATTATCTTTTCCACCGACAATTATACCTAATTACCTAATGAACACGCGTGTGCAGGCGATTGGCGAAGAAACCATTTGTCGTTTTGACGCGACACGTTACGCAAAAGGTTGCATTCCTATCGCCGAGTTGCGTGAAGAGATGCAACAAACTATGCACAAATATTGTTCGGTGTTCAGAACATGCCATATACTGCAACGAGGATGTCGTGAGATGAGTCGTCTCTTTACCTGCGACTTGCCGGATTTATGTGTAGGTGAATTGATCGAAATATTCCATTTACGTAAGACCCGAGTTAGCTATCTATCTAATGTATTAAGCCTTCCAGAGTTCAAGTTTTCTTCTATTATCGGCATATGCATAATTTTTAATTGTCGGTTGTTATACAACCTGTTAAATAATTAACAAGTTCTTAAGTGTGACATCCTTTTGTTCGGTCATTCAGTTCTGATTCCTACGCAGTAATTTTATGTGACTATCATATCTCAGTAAACACTTAAACTTTTTGATGTATTCGAATTGCCTTAGGTTCAAGACCAGTCTCTGATTTGGAACACGGAACTCTTGGAGGCCATCGAATTACAAAACATGATGCTAGTTTGCATGCACATCGTTTACGCGGCGGAAAACAGAAAAGAGTCTCGTGGATCGCATGCCCGGGATGATTTCAAGGTATTTGATCTTCCGTCGCGGCGAGAAATGTACTGGTAGTAATCGACTGAAAATTTCGATTAAAGGAACGAATCGACGAGTTCGATTATTCGAAACCGCTAGAAACCCAGAAGAAACGGCCGTACTGCGAGCACTGGCGCAAACACACACTAACATGGGCACGGCCAGAGGGTACGGTGAGTTATCAAAATTGCCTATTATGCATTATTATTCGTTATGCAAGAAGGCATTCATTCAGAATGGCACGTGTTTGAATGATACAGAAAATTTTTCTTTCTTCAGAAATAATCTCGAGTTCAGAATTATAGTATTTAACATTTTTTTTTTATCAAGTTTTTATAGTCAACAATTCGGTTTTCGTTTGCACTTCGCCTTGGCTTAAGATTTTTGTGTGAGATTACAAAATACGTATTCTTGTCGATGAAAGAAATTCTTGGTGGATTTGCAGATCAGCATTTCGTATCGTCCCGTTATCGACACGACCCTGGATGAGCAAGAAGCCAAACACGTCCCCCCTTCGGTCCGAATCTACTGATACGAACATTTAGATCCTGGTAGATCCTTCATCTCCTTGCCATTTTTAACTCGTTCGTTTTCCCGTTTCATTAAGTTCCTTAAATTAAAAATCCGCCGACGTACAGCAACGTTCTTTGCACTGAAGTCGATCGATAATCCAGTCACGAGCCGTCTTCGTTATCTTGAAATTGTGAAGACGACGAACGACAACGGTTTTAAAAGTTGTTTGTGATTGACGCTCGTGCCCGGTATTGGTTTTTGTCTATCGCGTCCAAACACCCGGTGTTAGTACGATTAATTAATTCCGACCGGAGACGCAGACCTGTCTGCCACCTCGTTTTGCATATTCCGTTAACAACCGGCGTCTTCCACAACGAAAATTATCTTTTCGTTTCGAGTAGTTTGTGATCAAGTTTCCTTTCGAACAAGGTAAACCGATTAAAAATTAACACCAGTTTGCTTATCCCTCGGTCGCCTGATATTGGCGTTTACAAAACCGAACCGATGGTATCCAATCGCGGCAGCGAATGATCTTGCGTAAACGCGTGTAAAGGAATTTTAATGCTTAATTGTATCAAATGTAGCATGTAATGATCGCAAATATAATAGACTAAACAAAAGCTTTAACGTAACGTTTTTATACAATGAAGATTTTTTAAAGACGATCAAGAAATTATTTACGCTGTATCTTGTCAAAAATGTCCATTCTATTACGAAAACGTGTATATGAAAAAAATTATGAATATTGAGACGTACGGACAAATCGTTCAAAATAATTATCGAAACTACTTATATTTAAACCCGAGTACTATTCAGATACGTGCGCAAGTAAACTTGTTTGATAAATTACTCCTACAGTTACCAATACTTGGAACCTGATTGTGTTAGTGCCTTCTATATGTACAGATTCTCCATTTCGCATGCACACATTCAAAGCACGCAACTTCAGTTAATGGCGAAGCACACGTGGAAAACACAACACTTTCCACGTGTGCGTGCGAAGTGGGTCCGGAATCCCTTGAGTTACCATTCATGTGTGCCAGCAATATCAATACGAGCATGCTATAAGTATTCGCGAGCCCCAGCATGTGGCACAAAGTTTACACGCACTTATACATATGCGTAGAGACGAGCCTACAAAGTGTTAACCAATAGGGAACGGAACATATGTCACGTGACGCCAACGCCAACCCCACACATGATGAATCTTTCTTATTTTTTTCTTTCTCCCCATAAGCTACAGGAAATAAAGCTCTGGAGTAAAGCCCGAGATACGATGTACTATGCCGATCTGGATAGATACGTTGCAATATTCTGTATAAGCATTTTTACGGAACAATTGGCTACATACACCGTTCCAAGATTCAGAAAATAAACAGTTGTAAACTCCAAGATTTTCTGAAGCATTACACCGTTTATGCTCGTACAACTATTATCAGAGACCTGATACAGTGAATAAATTTAAATTCTATAGAGCCAGTGGCTATATAAATGTAAATGTTATAGCTTGGCTCAACTTTCACTGGCATGCTTATCTCCTATTAATAAAACATCCAGTATGCTTACTAATTAGCGAGATTTTAATGATAAGAATGATCCAGTTTTAACACTCGTTACCTGGAACATGGATAAAAAGCACCATGTGCACTTGAAGAAAACTGTAACGTAGTACTTCCCCTTTAGAATCTGTGCGATCGAACGACTGTATGTACACAATTTGAAATACCGTTAGCACCCCATTGTATGTCCGTATGTAACGCGGAATGAGAACCGCTTGATGTCTTTCGCGGTATTGTTTAATTTTCCCGCCGAGAATTAGCTATCATTCCTTTCTTCGGTGTCGGTATTTCGTTAGATACAAGACTGAATGTTACGACCACTACGTGTTGCCTATATTAAAAATAGCGAGAGATCGCGGGTAGGGAATGATAGGATAGAAATAAAAATTTTGTAGGCACCTTAAAGGTGAGGTTATCTCGTGACCGTGCGCTTGGTAACACTGGTATTCATCAGGGAGCTTCCACTAGTAGTCGGTACTCAACCGACTCGAGCACTTCACATCGCCGTGCAAGAAGTGCGGGAGTGAAGTCGACAAAAATTAGGGTTAGTCGGGAGTTACAGCGGAATCGCACATTCGACAGCGAGGTGCGTGAATCGTCGTCCAAAAGGAAATTTTTAGTTGAAACGTGTGACATAACGGGAAGATGAGCGGTCTATTGAAGCTGTCGTCTCTGTTAGCGAGAAATCCGCCCACAACCACACTGGTAAGTAGTTTTTCATTAAGTTATATAATTTTTAAACCAACAATGATGCACCTTCACCGTGCGACACTCGGCGTCGATCAATTACGTAAGTTTCCTAAACGTGTATATCATCTGCATCGACTCTCGCAAAGAAGGTCGTTTTTCTCGCTCTCTGCGAACCTTGTTTCTCGCAATTGTCTAAAAAATCGCGAGTAAATAAATAACGAAAGTATAATTATAATAACAAGAGAAGAGAACAGAACGTTTCGTAGACGATCAACGTCAAACGTTTTTTATTTTATCGAACTCGCTTAATTTTTTACGCGCCACCCTGAGACCCGCCGGTCTGCGAGGAAATATCACGAGTTTTCGTAGAGGAAAGGTACCGAAGGTAACGGTGATCCATTTAGCCGTTATCTCTATAAAACTAACAATCATTTGTTTCTTTTAACCGCGTCAAGATATCGAATCGAACGTACGTTACCGAAACCAGCCGCCGTATTATGCTTTAGAAGTTTAATTATAATTGCGGTCGAGCTACCGGCACGGGAAGTTAGCATTAGCGGGAAATTGCACTCTTTAAATCGGAATTTTACGTATTACAAGCTTACTTACCTCATTATCTCTATAATCGCTTGCTTGTATCTTGATCGCATCGTATTAGTTGCGAATAAATATAGGATAAAATCATTTTAGATAATTATTAGGATTCTGTCAATTTGCACATCGCGATTTTTAAGGTGAACTTCCTCAAATCGTGCTATCTTCAAAATGTATTTTATAACTGTAGTGTTCTTGTTTTGTTATTGTAGCTACTGTGTATACAAGAATCAAGTTTGAACATATTATAGAATAAAAATTTGTCGCCAGTCAAATACTGTTTCCTTTGCTCTCCATACGTGGCAAATGCTCATTGCTAACAGTTGATTTATTACTGTTTCCGATTTAATTCAAATATTATTAGTTCGCATATAACTAGTAAGAAATTTATAATAAACATCCATTTATGATTTTCGAATGTTAAAAATTGTACGAGAAGTCATACGTAATTAACCTTGTTTTGATATCGATAATCACATATCTTAATTATATAATTTTCATGTGCATATTGTTATTATATTTTTGTCGTCGGTAATGCAAATTGTTATTAACGGAACGAATGCCAGAAAAGAATATCAATAAACTTTGTATAACAGATTACAATTTATAAGGACTATGGCACATGTATATTGGAATTTTTATCGGAATGTGTAATTTTATTATAAAAAGTTTAAGCCACGATTAAACTTTAGCTTAAAGATAGCCAGTGTCGCAATATTGATGAAAATTTGTGTATCACGAACGGAACGAGTGTTAAATATCAGCGGATGAAATTATTCGTTAAATCAAATCGCTGTTTCTAATGACTCAAACAGTGTCACGTTACATTTTTCAACTCAGATTCTAAAACTGTTTAGCATTTTATAAATAGAGTAGTTAGTGCAATGAAGTTATCTATATATATTCAAATGCAGTCATGTACGTATGTATGTACATAAGTACAGTAGTGCAACTATAGTGCTAGTACGCTACACACTGCAGTACTCTGCACTGTACACACGTGCACATATTTTACGTACAGACAGACATTGTAGAATGTAAAGATAAGATTGAGTGAAGCAGTAAGTAATTGCTTGATGCCGATAATATATTGACGCAAACCCTTACTAGTTTCTTGATATCGCTTTTGTATATTATTTCAGAATAAATTGGGATTACCCGTGATCACAAGTCGCAAATTACACTATACACCAGATGGGAAAGCTGCAAAAGTCTCCGAAGGTGTTTCTAAACAGTATCCATTGGTAGATCACACTTATGATGCTGTTGTGGTGGGTGCTGGTGGAGCAGGATTGCGTGCGGCCTATGGGTTGGTTGCTGAAGGTTTCAAAACAGCTGTCGTTACTAAACTGTTCCCTACAAGGTCGCACACAGTTGCTGCTCAAGGAGGTATCAATGCTGCCTTGGGTAATATGGAAGATGACAATTGGCAGTGGCACATGTATGACACAGTTAAAGGATCTGATTGGCTTGGTGATCAGGATGCCATTCATTACATGACTCGCGAGGCTCCAAAGGCAGTCACTGAATTGGAGAATTGTGGCATGCCTTTCAGTAGAACTACAGATGGTAATGGTCTTACATAGTTAACATATTATTTTGAGGTAAAATGTGTTTTTGCATGAGACATACAGTTTATACTTCAGAATATATATAAAATGTACATAGAGAAATTGCTTTTGTCGTATAGTATAATAAATGCTCAATAGACGTTCAGTAGACGTTCAATAGACGTAAGTTAGACAGCGAGGAACATAATGCAAACATGTACGTAAATTCATTATGAGTACAGTCATGATTATGTAATTATATCTGTTCATGAGCCCGTATCTGATGCGTCATCGCTCGTGTTTGTGAGTGATGTGGCTGAAGTCATTGATTCAGTATCTGATTCCGTATTGCTTTTAGTTCTCCTACTTTTCTCTCTGGTAGACTTTTTAGGTTCCTGTAATGAAGCCATGTTCCTTTGTTTAAAAGGAAAAGAAACCATGTAACTGTATAATTTGTATAAATTATTGACCTTTTTCTTTCCTTCTCTTTTACTAGTTTTTTCTTGCTTTGGTGTATCTTCTTTTTTTGGTTGGTCTGCATTTATCTCAGCAGGTTCATTTATATTCTCATTCTTCTGATTTAGTTTTTGATTTTTAATATTCAAAGCTCCTTTTATATATGGCTGCTTCTCAGTGGAAGACATGTTTCTCCATCTTTCACCAGCCATTTGATGTATTTTTGAACTTCTCAAGCCACAATATTTCTGTGACTATGTACACTTATTTTTATTAACGTATAACTAAATAAATTTTATATGCTGACATAGCGTTACGCTTACCTGCCTGATATCTTGAACGAAATTTATAAAGGGATTGGAACTGATCCATTTCTTAGAGTTTCTAATGCATGGAGAGCGAGAGCGAGAGCGAGAACGAGAACGGGCGTCCTTTTGATTATAATTTCGCTGTGAGGTTGCGTTTATTACTCTAGAACTATGCAAGCAATAATTCGAACAAGCATTGTCTTCTACATTGTGTGAGAAAATTATTCTACCTTTTGCGCCGTAGTTTACAATTAGAGTCAGTTTCCTTTGCTCGTGGAGAATGATCATTGTACACGTCTTTTGTGAAACTTTCTTCGTTAGGTTCTTCATGGTCCTGTTCATTCTTTGTAATTTTATCCATGTTTGAGAGATTTATACAAAGTTATCTTCCTAATTATTGTAATGATGCTTCTGCATTTTTACACACAAATGTGTTCATTTGAATCAAAGAAATATCATTGCAAAAATTTATTACAATATCAAACAAATTCCATTTTACGGTTGCCATGTACTCGAACGTTGTTGAATTTCTAATGTTAATATGTTCACGTAATTTTTTTATTTATCTCTGAGTTCAGAACAGTACTTGTTAAAAAACAAGTATTACATTTTTTTAACGCGTAATTCTGTTCCAGGAAAAATTTATCAACGTGCCTTCGGTGGCCAGTCATTGAAATTTGGAAAAGGTGGCCAAGCTCATAGATGCTGTTGTGTGGCGGACAGAACAGGTCATTCGCTGCTTCACACATTGTATGGCCAATCACTGAGCTATGATTGCAACTATTTCGTGGAATACTTTGCTCTGGATCTTCTCATGGAGGATGGGGAGTGCAGGGGAGTAATCGCTCTTTGCTTAGAAGACGGAACACTTCATCGTTTCCATGCCAAGAACACAGTATTGGCAACTGGTGGCTATGGACGTGCGTATTTCTCTTGTACATCTGCTCACACGTGCACCGGTGATGGCACGGCCATGGTATCCAGAGCTAATTTGCCTAATCAAGACTTGGAGTTTGTACAGTTTCATCCTACTGGTACGAGAATATTATTTTAGTTTCTATCTGAATAAGTCACTAGTTTCACATGTATTATTGCTTTTATATGAAATCATTTCTAAATTTAGGAATATATGGAGCTGGTTGCCTCATCACAGAAGGCAGTCGTGGTGAAGGAGGCTATCTCATTAATAGCCAAGGTGAAAGGTTTATGGAACGTTATGCTCCAGTCGCGAAAGATTTAGCCTCTAGGGATGTCGTATCTAGATCTATGACTATTGAAATCCGGGAGGGCAGGTAATAAATATGCACATGTCGTAAGATCAAATAGTAAAACTGAAATTCTTTTACTTTCCTTAATTTAAAAATTTGAAATTCTTTCCTATATTTTTGATAATGATATTCGTATATTGCACAATTTTTTAATAGTTTGCACAAGCAACTACGTAAATGAGGAGAGTTTATTTACACAGATATTTGAACTTTATTTAGAGGTGTTGGGCCCGAGAAGGATCACATTTATTTGCAACTCCATCATTTACCGCCTGAACAATTGGCAGCCAGATTACCTGGAATCTCGGAGACAGCCATGATATTTGCCGGTGTTGATGTAACGAGAGAACCTATTCCAGTTTTACCTACGGTACACTACAACATGGGTATGTGTCTATTTCATTTATCCTTCAGAGCACTATTAATCCATTAGAGATCAACTTAATATGTTGGTAAATATTTTAATTTTTTAGGAGGTGTACCTACTAATTATAAAGGACAGGTTTTAACCAAGAAAAATGATCAGGACACCGTTGTACCTGGATTATATGCGTGTGGAGAGGCAGCTTGTGCGTCTGTTCATGGCGCTAATCGTCTTGGTGCTAATTCTTTGTTAGATTTAGTCGTGTTCGGACGTGCATGCGCTAAGACAATTGGTGCAGAAAATAAACCGGGAGAAAAAATTGGAGCACTACGACCTGTTAGTATTACTCTTTTTATCTCGTCTGAAAAATTATGTAAAAACGTAGTACTGTAACCTGAATATGTTTTAGAACGCTGGAGAGGAAAGTGTGGCTAACTTGGATTCAATTAGGCACGCGAGCGGTAATATTTCCACCGCAGACCTAAGGTTGAACATGCAAAAAACTATGCAGACTCATGCAGCCGTATTTAGAGACGCTCAAACGTTACAAGAAGGTAAAATTTCAATTAAAAATTGTTTTAAATATACAATAAATTCTAAAAATATCGATTGACCTTGTTAGGTTGTCAAAAGATGTCTAGCTTGTATAAAAGATTAGATGACCTGAAGGTGTCGGATAGATCTATGGTATGGAATTCCGACCTCGTAGAATCTTTGGAATTGCAAAATTTAATGATCAACGCTATGCAAACAATAGTAGCCGCTGAAAACAGAAAAGAAAGTCGCGGAGCTCACGCGCGCGAAGATTTCCGAGATAGAATCGACGAATACGACTATAGCAAACCTATAGAGAATCAAACACCGAAGCCACTGGAACAACATTGGAGAAAGCACACACTCACGAAAATTAACCCCAGGACAGGAGAAGTAAGTAGTATCGTTTAAATAAAATTGAAATTACAAAAATTGCGGATTGATTTCGGAGTTAATAAATTTGGACTTACTTTTCAGGTATCGATCGAGTTTAGGCCAGTCATAGACAATACTCTAGATAAACAGGAATGTGCGACGGTTCCGCCTGCGATTCGTTCCTATTAGAGTTATTGCTCGAAGTAAATAACGATTCTAGCTTTCCTAGCTTTCCAACGACATTTTTTATCGCCAACTATAGTTTTTAAAATTACTCGTTTGTGCGACACATTCAATTTTTGTACGGGTTGGTAACAACCGGTAAAAAGAAGGAAAAGTTACCGATATATCCTTATCTATCATCAATACGAATACAGCAATTTTATTTATTATCGCACGTGAACCACTTCGTGCACCAAAGTGTAATTCTTGTCAATATCTTGTACGCGAACAAGATTAGTTGCCCTTGTAGGATAATGGTGCTGAAATTATCTTTATAGCTTCAGGAAAGAATTTCTCCCGATCTCTTAGCGAATCAATAAACTAAAATGGAGTGAAACGTTTTTAGCGTGATTCAGACAGCAAAATAATTTCACGCACATGAATCTTATGAAGGAACGTGTTTCCTACCTCTACACGCGATCTTATTTTCAGTATTTTCTCTTCATGTCATTTCACATTTCTGTCAGTTGTTTCGTTTTTTAAACAATGCCAAATATTAAGATCTACATTAATGGACAATATTGTACGATATATAATGAGCTGGTGCTCCCTGAAAGATTGTACGAGTAAATATAAACCCAGTTTTTACGCGGCTGGAATACTTAACTTTAACAGGTTGATGTGGAAACAGTCTTGAACGAGAGCAATAATTAGACTTAATATTGTTTTGTAGTGGAAACTTTCTTCAGTATTCAGTGTCCGGTAAAATTTATCCGTTTTCTTGTATTATAGATTAAGCCTGTCTGAATTTATAAAATATCAGTACTTACATTTGAACGTTCTCACTATGTACCATCATATTTACCGATCATATATACACATGTGGTTTCTTATTTGGCGATAAATCTCTTCTGTGTCGCCTGTTAGACATTATTAATTTATCGTACTACGTATTTTGTGAAATATACAAGTGAGCAAGTCTCGAATTCAAAAGTACATGCATGAAAGAATCATGTAAGTAATTTGGTGTGAATGAAACAAAATGTACATAAGATTGTCAATAAAAGAGAAGCATTCGTACTATCCTTTTATCGTAGAAATAATTCTCGTAAATATTATTTGCAAGTATGTGTGAAAGTCAGTTTTCACAGTTTTTTTTTTGTATTTATTAATGGTTAACGAAAAACAACACCAATAATCCTTCTTCACGAATATAGTTTATTAAACCCATAATAATAATAAT